TTCCGCTGGGTGCGGGCAACCGGGACCGGGAGGTCAGCTTTTATGGCAGTTAGTTTTACCTAAACCACTCCAGGAAGCAAATGTCAGTTCAGAAGTAAAGGGTGATGAGAATTTGTCAGATGCAAAGTCAACAGGGTAAATCTCTGGAGAAGCAGACTCAAACGACTCAAGGAAGAAGGAAGGCAGCACGTGGGAGGAGCCACAGAAACATCCAGAAAGTGGGAGGTGGCCAGAGGGAGGAAGCTGGCTCTGTCCCATGAGCAGTGAACGCAGTGAAGGATGCAAGTTTGGAGCAGGAAGGCATGACAGGGTGATAGGAGCAGATTCCCACTTTAAAGATGACCCTGGCTGCCACAGGAGAATAAACTAAAAGAGGGAAGTGGGTCCCCTGTGCTAAAATCAGAGAGGTGCCCGCCAAAATTATCCGGCTGCCAGCCGGTGTGAGCTCTAGGGCCACCATTAGCTTTACCTATGCCTGCGGGTCAGTAATGATCAGAGGTAAGCTGCAAGCTCTGTCTTGGGCCAGGGAGCACCACCTGAGGCTCCAAAGCATGGCGACTGGACACTGGTGGCCGTGGCTGCACCAGTGGGAAGTCGACAGCCAGGGTGACCTTTGTGGCATTGGGAAGGTGTGCATGAGAATGAGAACTACTAGGGAAAGCGTCCATTCTTCTCCACTTAATTGGATGCTGTATAATTTCTCTGCTGTCAGGGCGTTTTTACTCTTCCCAAGTGTCTAGGGATTTTTGTGTAGAAATTCATCTCACCAAGCTTTGGACAAGACCCCGTCTAACGTGAGCTCAGCAAAGGATCTTCTAGAAAGCCTGGGAAATGAGTCTTTAGCTGGAGTCCCACAAGAAAGGCCACAGCAGAAGCCTGAGAAAGTCTGACAGAGAAGGCCTGCCTGTCTTCTGCGAGCTGTCATGGTCGTGGAATGGCCGCTCTTCGGATCCTCGCAGAAGAGACACCTTGCAGCACGAGCTCACAAAGTAGTAAGAGTGGTTTGAGGGAGGACACGAAAATCCACATGTGGGCAATGATAAAAGTCCATTGTTCCCACTTTTAATGATCCCCTGCTTGTCTTGCCCATGGAGCATGACAGGGCCCAACCTGGAGCTCTGCGGGGTTGTGTGTCAGCCCAGATCCATCGTTGGCCCCTGACTCCCAGGGAGCATGAATACAGCCGTTGGCTTCTCCAACTCTCAGCCTTGTGCCTGGCAACCAAAAGAATAAACGACTTCTTCTAAAAGTGTACCGCGAGGCTGGGCTGAGCTCACAGCCATGGGAAAATGGAGCAATGCTAGGGCAGCAGCCGGAAGGAGGTTGTGCGGAAAGTGAGTGTAAAACAAGGTCTGCGATAAAGCAGTTGGGTGGGAAATGAAATCCAGCTTCTCACCCAGTCTGGCGACATTACAGAAAACAGCACCAAAGGCTGAGCTAGGCATTACAGACCAAACACTTGTGTCCGCAGACTCCTGCGGTGGGGCCCTAAGCCCAAATATGAAGGTATGAAGAGGCCAGGCCATGAGGGTGGAGCCTCTGTGCGGGGTGAGCACCCTTCTAGGAAGAGAAAGGGGCCCTAGAACTCTCTCTCGTGCTGGGGATGTAGCTCAGTGGCACCTCACCTGCCTGCCAAGGTCCTGCAGTCCTCAAGGTCCTGAGTTCAATCACGGTACCGAAAAAAATAGAATTTCCTCTCCTCATCTCCTCCTCCTCCTCCTCCTGCTCTTTTCCACGCTCCTTCCCCCCCCCATCACCCCCTCTTTCCATATGAAGACACGGAAAGAAAGCCGCTGGCTGCTAGCCAGGGAGAAAACCCCTGCCGGTGCCCAGTCTCCTGGCACCTCGCTCTGGACCCCAGCCTGCAGGCGCATGAGATGAACGTCCACAGGATGAGCCCTCCAGGCTGTGGTGTCTTGTCACAGTGGCCCTGCTGACCGAGACACCAAACTGTGCAGAGTGAGCACAGAACCGGAGCCCAACCGTCACGATCTGAGTCAGAATCAAGTGAAATCTCCCAACGATGACACTAACCTGAATCCTCTCCTTAAACATGAACCCTACACCAGCTCTGGCCAACTCTGGACTCTTCCCCCTCCCACCCTCCCCTTGTGGTTATAGTAATTTACACAGGCTAACCTAGGCGAATCTTGGAGTCTATAATATTTGTATGTGCAAAAGTACAACAGGAGGCCTGCAATACTTGAGAAAAGACCACTACATAGAGTTTAAATCAACCAACCCAAAACAAATGACTCCTCAGCTTTGTTGAGCACTGTATTTAGGCTGGAACAATATCCTGCCTCCTCTTGGACACAAGAATGGATCATAAGAAGACAAGAAAAAAGAAAGGATTAAAAAGTCATGGAAGACCATACTCCCCAAAAAAAGTCATTAAAGAGACGACAACATGACTGTTATTTGCCAGTGATAGGATGGCCTACCTGTAAATCCAAGAGAATCTACTGAAAAATGATCATGTACAACCAGACACAGTAGTGCATGCCTGTAATCCTGTCACTCTGGGAGACTGAGTCAGGAGGATGCCAAGTTTAAGGCCAGCCTGGACAAGTTAGCAACTTCATGAGATCTCATCTCAAAATAAAAAAAGGAGCTGGTGATTTAGCTCAGTGCAAAGTCCCTGGATCAAATCCCTAGTACAGAAAAAGGAAAAAAAAATTTACACATATATATATAGTTCAGTAAGATGGCTGCAGAGCTAAATGTACAAAAAGCAGTTTTCTCAGGTAATAGCAAAGCCAACTAGAGAACCCTCCAGCAGAACGAAAGGAATGTTCAAGACCTATGTGAAGAAAACTACAAAACTTTACTGAAAATCATAAAATGCTAAAAGACAATAGCATAAAAAGACATCAATTCTAACGTGATTCTGCTTGCCCACGGTGTTCCTTTGTTTTCTTCTGGGATATCTTGAATGTCCTATTCTTGGGTGTCTGTGGGACCTGAATAATTCTGTTTTTAGCCAGTGTCAGGGGGTCCTGTTCACTTCAATCAAATGACAGCTGAAATGAGGCTACCTCTATCTCTCCCAGACCAGTGTCAAATCTTGAATCTGCTCCTATGTCCTCCTGCATTTCTCTCCAAGGGGACTTTCTCAGCTTCTTGCAAATAGTAATAAAATCATAAAAATAATAATAATAATAGCAGTAGTGGGCAAGAAAATGTCTTCAATGTACATGTGTTCTACCTGGCTGCACACACCTTGTTGAGGGCTGTCCTGGTATGCAGCCATATCACAACACCATGCATACTCTGGGACTTCAGTGAGAGCCAGTTAAATAAAATTTAAAATTTCTAAATAAGTTGGTACAAAAGGGAATGAAACAGGTCCTCTCCAAGGTGCCAAGTCCCTGTGTCCACCCTGAGGGAGTCCTTTTCTCCTCCCAGGATGAACGCTGCCACCCTCAGGAAAGAGGGGTCCTCTGGAGCTGGAGGTCACAGGCCACTGGCCCTGCCGACGCCTGCTGACCCCTGTGGCCCCCGACTCAACTTTCCCAATTCCCACTGGAGGTCAGGCCCTCAGGTCCACCTGGAAAATGGACATTTCAGTTCATTCCATGGCTCAAAGGAAATCATTCACACCCTTGGGAGAGACGTGGCTTGATCTCTGAGGGGCCTCTCCAGACGTCGCAGCCCCAGCCCCAGGCTGCCTCGCCCTCCTGCCCCCCGTGGGCTGCTGGTGACCCCCAGGCCCTCGGGGTCACTGTGGAGCAGATGCTCCACTCCAGCGGTGTCCTGCCTGCAGCTGGATCAGCATCCTTGGGGGTCTGAGGCCAGGCCCAGAAAGGAGAGGCCCCACTTCCCTCAGGGGAAACTTTCAGAGGGTGAGGGGACAGTGGGGTTCTGGGGCCGAGTGTGGAAGAAGCATCTTCGTGGTTGACTCCTAATTTAGGTCAGTGGCTATAGAAGACTTAAAGTCGGCTCAGCCCATCCAATCCAGAGGCATTGACACCTCCGCCGGGTGTCCCTCAGCCTGCCGTCCTCCTCCAGTGGGGACACCCCAGCCCAGCCTTCCTGCTGCCCTATTTAGTACCCCGTCCCGGAAAGGGGTTGAAGGAGTCCAGGCCCTTCACCGTCCCCGACACGGCAGGGCCAAGCGGGGCGGCTCCTGACACAGCATGGAGAGTGGGCGGCCCTCCCGGGAGTTCCGCTCCTGTGTGCCCATTTTCCTCGACCCGGGCACTTGTGGCCATAAAATGGGCCCCGGCAGCTCTGCCTGCATCCGAGCCTGGCACACGTCACCCCCACACACCGGCACGCCTGCTCACTCACACACACACAGGGCACCTGCTCCCCTGTCACTCTTCACGTTCTACCCTGAGTCTCAGGTAAGGAGCCGGCAAAGGGAGGAGCATCTTCCCTGACGCTGGAGACCCCAGTGACTCCCCATCAAGTCCTCCTGTGGCAAAGCTCACATGATGGCCACAGGCGGCTCCGGGCTGGGACCCCTCCACTCCAGCTGGCCACAGAATGGGCTCCCGGGGCCACGGGCAGTGACAGGGCGGGACAGAGGCCAGAAGCTGCCCAGAAGGACGCCTGTGATGGGGACCCCGACAGGAAGCAGGGGACTGGGAGAGCTGGGCATGTGGGGGCATCAGGAGGACGCGGCCTGGCCCGCGGAGCCTCACAGGAGCAGGGCTGCAGGTTCAGGGCTGCAGGCCGGCTGAGGGCTCCGTGGAGACCTGAGCACATCTGGGTCGTGCTCCAGCCACAGCTGCGGCGCCCTCCCCGCCTCTGTTCCCCAGAGTGAGTCACAACCCCGGAGAAGCTGCTGAGGCCCTGGCACCCGGCTACAGGCTGCGTTCACCACCACCGCGCTCCCCATGTGAGACGGGAGGCCGGCGACACGTCGCCCACGCCCAGCACCAGCGATCACCGAGGCTCCGAGCTCGCTCCCTGACTCCGAAGGGAAGAGGAAGACAGACACCGGGCCCGGACCTCCTGGTTCACATAAAGACGGACCAAGGCGACACTGGGGCCACTGTCTCAACACCTTTTATTACAACGGCAGGGACAGTCAGGGGCTGGGGGGACACAGACACTAAGCTGCGTACGGCCTCGCCGCTCCGCCTGCCCAGGAGGCCGCCGCGCTACGGCTTCTGTACCATGCATCTGGGGTCACGGTGCGTGTGTGCGAGGTGTGGGCTTCTCTGTGCGGCGTTGTTCTGCGAACTGCTTGACGGGTCTGAGGCGGACCAGGAGGGCCCCCCACCCCGCTAGGACTGGGACCCAGCCTTCTTCTTCTGGAACTTTCTGAACTGAGACTGGATGGCCACCGCCGCGCGCTCTGTCTCGGGCGCGTCCATGTCGATGTCGAAATCCTCCTGGACTTTCTTCTGGCCGTCTGCAGCAGAGAAACAGACACAGGGCGGTCAGCGGCGGCAGGGGGGTGGCGGCCGGGGCCCTGATGCGACACGTGACTGCTGCCACCTGGCCTAGACCCTGGGCATCCGGACAGCTCAGAACCCACTGCCCTCACTGCCCCAGCTCTGTGCCTTCGGGGAACCCTGAAAAGTGGGACACGGGGTGGACACTCCATATATTTTCCGCACATGATTTTATTTTGTTTTGTAGTACTGTGGATTAAACCTGGGGCCTCTGCACGAAGCTCTATCACCAACCTTTTTTATTTTTTCATTTTAAAACAGGATTTAAGTCACAAATAGCCCAGGCTAGACCCAAACTTGAGATCCTCCTGCCTTACCTCCCAGAGTGCTCAGATTACAGGTGAGCACCTCCACACCAGCTCTGTGGGATTTTACGCTCCCGTTGGCCATGGTTGACCCATCGTTTTTAGATAACATCTGTGCTGTTGCTTTCTCCTGAAGGCTCACAGAGACACAATGCAAACTGTGCCCCGAGCACTGGGCCAGGGGAGCCCGTATTCACAGGGTGGTTCCCTGAGACTCCGCACCTGCTCCTGAGGCCAGTGAGAACTTCCTGTTGGATTCCGAGTCTGAGTTTTTATGATCCTCATGACCGAAGGACTCCGTCTGACCCTCACAGATTGAACATTCACAGATTGCTACCCTACGGTCCTTTAAGGCGGGATCAGCCACGCGCCTGCTGAGGCAGGAGGACCTAACCCATTCTTGCCGTAGTGACTTCTGACAAAAAGACCTAAGCAGGAAGGATGGGAAGGTGTGGTCTGAGTGTCACTTTGTGCTGTGCACTGACTGGGCAACTTTCCACCCAGCAGTAAAAACAAATAAATAAAATCCTCCAGCCTGACAAGGAAAGAGTCCTTCAGCTCCCTGGGCCAGTGAAGGCAGAAGAGCATCAGAGTCACCCAGGCTTCCTTTCCTCAGCTTTTTCATGGGACCCCTGGCCGGCCGGGACACAGAGCCCGAGGGGAAAGGTGGCCTGAGTTGAAGGCTATCAGGAGGTCCTTTCCCCGGACCTGGCCCGTCCACAGGGGCAGTGACAAAGCAGGTCCTGGGCAGCTGGAGCCAGAGCAGGGCCGTCTCAGGGTGCACAGCTGAGCCGACCGTCCCCAGGCGGCCTGGGCGTCTCGCAGGGCGGGTGACAGTCCTAACAGCGTGGATGCGGCCACCGGAAGGAAGGCGACCATCTCCTCCCTCCCTCTCTCCTCTCCTTGCCTCTGTGACGGAGAGAGTAGGTGGGTAATAGATGTGGACTAGAGATGGGTGCACACAGAGTGCCAGAGGCAGAGAGCACTGAGGCAGAGGCCAACAGGTAAGGTGATAAAGCAGACAGGTGAGCGATGGGTAGACGGATTAGAGCTAGAGCTAGATGACAGACAGATGGACAGACAGACCTACTGATGCACCATAGGCTGACAGACAGACAGACAAGCGCACTGCACACTTATTCCGGCATTGTCCTGTGTGGCGCCTCCTTCCCAGACCCTCCCAAGCCGCTCTGGTTTCCCAGAAACAGCAGGCTCTACCTGCAGCCCCGGATCCACCTTCACCCGTGTCAGGCCGGGCGGTTGAGCCAGGGAACTGTTTGTTGTCCTTCCCTCTTGGATTTTCTCAGTGTCCAGGGTGGCGGCAGGGGACTCTGGGCCGCCCTGTGCACATGGTACCCAGGACGGGGCAGCTGTCCCCTGCCACATCCCCGGCCGCTTACAGTTCGGTCTACACTGCAGGGAACACGGGGAGAGAACCATGGGGTAGGAGCTTCCCGTGACTCAAGTGGAGGCAGTCAAAAGATGGGCAACTCAGAGACACTTCTCAGAGGCCCAAGCAGCCAATAAGTACAGGAAGAATGCTCAGCGCTGCCGGCCACGAGTGAAAACAGCACTGAGAGTGTATCTTTCCCCCAGAAAGAACAGCTGTGACCCAGAAATCAAATAACAGCAAGTGCTGGTGAGGCTGGGGGGAGAAGGAGCCCTTCCGCATTGCTGGGAGTGTAATCTAGCACAGCCCCTGTGGAAATCAGTGTGGAGACGCCTCGGAGAACTACAGCCAGAAATTCCATTCAGCCCAGACACTCCCTTCTAGGTATCTGCTCAAAAGAGTTAAAGACATCACATTACAGTGATATATGCTCGCCCATGGTTATGGAAGCACAACTCATCACAGCCAAGTTTAAAGAGCGGCCTACATGCCCGTCAGTAGATGAATGGATAAAGAGAACATGGTACTTACACAGTGGAGTACTGCTCTGCTGTAAAAAAGGGTAAATGGATGCACCTTGAGATCATTGTATTAAATGAAATAAATATCACACCGTTTCTCTTACATGAGAAACCCAAAGTATAAACAAATTACAGAGTAAAGTAAAAGGGAATAAGAAGCAGGGAGACAGATATTTCACAGACGAGCAGGAAATCAAGAACAGAGGCAAGCAGGAGGGGAAAGTGACATCCAGAGTATGAGATGTGCCATGCCGGGTACCGACTCCCCACGGAGAATGCACTCAGTATGTACTGAAAAAACATACTAATAAAGAACAGTTTTTAATGCTTACTTAGCGCTACCCTGTCAGCCTGGGTGCGGAAGGAAGGCACGGATGTGAAACACAAACCACACAAACCGCCCTGGCCTGGGGACTCAGAATCAGGAACGTCATTGCTCCCGAGGGTCACAGTCCCAAATCCCCGTCCCCAAGGACTGGACCACACCAAACAGGATTCACTGCTATTCAGGGAGACAAGAGGTCTCTCGGGCTTACAGTGCTGCTGCAGCCGGAAGGTTTTCAAGGGCCTGATTCGTCTTCTCCTTTTCATAAAAGCGACAGAAAAGCCAATTACATTACTTTCTGACAAGTGACAAATGCAGAGGGAGAAAATTGTGTAGATTTAGGGAACACACAATGAGGCAGTGAGGCTGGGTCCTAAAGACCAGCTTTCCAACGATATCTTAAACCAACGCCTTCAGCCAGACGTGATGTATTGCTTGTCCCTTGCTTGAAAAATAGCAGTGTTTAAAAAGCAACCAGGGGTGTTTAGGGAACCCTTGCCTTCTCTCTGGTCGGGAGAGCCCCCCGTTCCCTGGGGAAGCTCGGCACCCTCAGACACTGAGACAGGGAGCAGACCAGGGACAGGGAAAGAGAGCAGGGGCGCACTGCCAGCCAAGAAGCAACAGCTCCTCGGGGTCTGTGGCAAACAACCTCAGGGCCTGGGGCGGCCAGGAAAGGATAGTGCAGCTCTGGACACCCAGAACTCCGTAGGAGCCGGGGAGGCTGCAGGAGGCGAGGTGAGGCAGGGCCACGGGGAGGCCCAAGGCCTCTGGGGTCCCTTCCCTGCACGGGGAGTCCCACGCCTGGGCCTGCAGCAGGCCATCACCGTCCGTCCCTCCAGCCCTGCCCTTTCCTCCTGGGTACTCCTGTCCGTGGCCCTACCAGAGTGTGAGCTGGGGGTGCCCACAGCCCTCAGCGCTGGCCACCAGTGTCCAATCTACACTTGAAGCTGGTGGACTGAGATAAACGAATTAGCACCTGCAGGGCCAGGTCTGGGGCAGTGTGGCTTCTGAAGGCATCACTGTGTAGCGGGGCAGAGGGAAGGAGGCACAGGAGTCCAGGGAAGGCATCCACCCTGGGACCCGGAGCGACCCCTGCAGGCTGGCACGCCAGGGAACAGAGGAGCTCGACCCTCCTGTCCCTGCCCTGGGGTGGGCCAGGCCCTCCCAGCCCTGACCCTCCCCTCCCACAAGGCCACAGAAGAAGTGGGGCTGCAGGTCTGATGCGGCCAGATGCGGGGACTGCCTGGTCTGCTGTGTGAGCCCAGGAAAGGTTCTCAGCCCTTCTAGGCCTCAGCCCCTGCACTTAGGAAATGAGGAGGAAAATCACTGTCCAAAGCCTGCTTTCCGCAGATCAACGCCTTGTCAGAAGTGCAGGCACAGGGCCAGACCTGCGTGGCACAAGGAGGAGGAGGCGAGGGCAGTAAGGTGGCCTGAGTCTGATCGGGGTGAGACTCCCGGGTGGCCACGCAGAGGCACCTCAGCCAGGGCCACTTTCACCAGCCACGTGATGAGCGTGGGCAGCCGGGGATGCTGCGGGGAGAGGCTCCTAAGGCCATGTCCAGGAGAGAGCCCTCCGTGCGGTCCACATGGCCCACACTCTCAAATTGGTGACCTGGCAGGGGGACAAGGCAGAAGGGACACCCTGGCCTCCACAAGGGCCCCCAGACATACTGTCCAAATGTCACTGTCATCTCCAGCCTGCAGTACCACTGGGGACGGGGACCGAAGTTTTCATTCCGATTCCTCTGGAAGAAAGCTGGTGAGCCAACTGCCTCACAGCGGTTTTCTCCCCAGACCCTCTGTGCCCAGCTGCGTGTCTGTTGGTTGTCTCCGGGATCCACCTGGGGCCCTGGGGCACACCTGCCTTCTTCTCCATGCAGGCATTCCAACATCTGGAAGCGGCCCACAACAGCCACCAGGAGGATGAGCTTCCAGTTAGCAGACTTAGTGGAAAAGGTCGCAACTCCACAAGGCGGACAAGGGGAAGCCGGTGTTCTTGACGGTTAGCGTGCCTGCCTGGGCCCGCGACCCCCACAAGCCCTGCATGCCCTGCTGTCAGGTCCATCCCTGGAACACCTCATGGCACAGAGAGTAAGGATCAAAATCTACCCGGCCACCTGCACCACCACACCTGGCGGGCATGCGCTTTTCTAATGCTCATAACTGTGAAAAGTGCCATCCAAACACAGAAAACTGCACGAGAATAAAGCAGGGGGACGCTAAGCATCTATACAAAGTAGTGTAAAACAAGAGCGGAAGGTGCAACTGGAGATGGCACATACAGCCCCGGACCCTCCCAGCCACATTCTCTCTCCACGTGGGCATTATCTCTCCCTTATATCCCATGTTGTTGGTTCTCTCTCTTCCTCCCCAACCCACATTCACCCAAGGGACACAAAACTTGCGAAATGGTCCC